TTGTTTCACTCTCTCTTTTTCTCTCTCTCTGACTTCTTTTTTTTTTCGTGTGGTGTTTTTTTTTTGGTTGTTTGTTGTTCATTTGCGCGCCGGGAGCATCGTTTTGCGTCTCCCCTCCCGATTCCTCCCTTTTGGCGGCATCGCGAGGTCCCCCCACCCCACCCCACCCCTCGCCTTTAATGTTTCTTTGCCTTGTCGCTGTTGGTTTCCTTCCTTTTGTTTTTTCCTGCGTGTTTATTTCGGGTGCCTGCCGCACACACACACACGCACACACTCTCTCCCGCTTCCTCCTCCGCCTACGGGTCGCGGTTCTCTGGCTTCGCGAACGGCATGCCTAGGACGTCGAACACGTCCTTCTCGCACGTGACGTGCACGCGCTTCACCTCCAACTCCTCCTTCGTGAGCCCCAGCGTCTCCATCTTTGCAGAGTGACCACTAATAACCGACACAATAGGGTCGGCGCCTTCCTCCACAACGGCGTCCGGGGCGGGGGCTTTGCCTCCGGCGGTCTTGCTCGCCCGCACCCGCTCCTGCAGCGCCTTCACCTCCTCCGGACTGCCAATTTTGAAGAGGCCGTACTCATTCAGGAGATACCCCTTACTGATGGCAGCCTGACGCATGATCACGTTGAAGTTCTTACTGCCCGTGAAGGTGAGCAAGGCGGTAGGCACGGAGCGAGCCTCAATAAGCCGAATATCCACACGTCGGGCCTTGTAGTGTTTTATTGCCCCATTCGTTACGCGAGGAGGGAGGCGACTCATGCCCATGTACTTTAGGGGCCCTTGGGCCATAGTCGCCTCGAGGTACTTTCGCTCCTGAAGGAAATCCACAAGGATGCCGAGGACGCCAGTGGCCGTCACTGGACCGTCGAGTGGCGGGGCGCTCAGGGCGCGCGCAAGAATCGCGTCAACGTCGCCGCTGAATGGATGCCGGCGACGATAACTACCGCACACCTGAAGTTCATACTCTGAGCCAAGCCTTGCCTGCACACTTTCGCGGAGAAAATTTTCATGCAAGACGGACTCGTGCATGGGGATCTTTTCATTGATGTCATGGAAGTACCGCACTCCCACGCGTTGCTGATCCGTCAACTGGATACGGTCTGCCTTTTCTATGAGCTCCTCCACAGTGAATATGCCCTCGCGATCAAAGAGGGCAGCCGCCGCGCGCGGGCCGAAGCCATGCACTTGCGTGAGTTCCTGAATCGCCTTGAGCTTCGGCTTTGTCTTCTTCTCAAGCTCCTCCAGTTTACCCGTCATGATGATTTCCTCCGCCTTCTTCAGCAGCTTTGAGCCAAAGCCGGGGAACCTCTCCAGATCCTCCACCGTTCGCAGCGGCAGGTCGAGGTTCGTCTTGAGGCTATTCACGGCGCGGTTGTAGCTCTGCACCTTGTACTTTTCACCAAGGGCATTGTTGAGGTCCGCCATCTCCTTGAAGATGCGGATGATGTTCTCGCGACTATCCGGATTGAGACGCCAGAAGGTACGACGAAACATTTTTTTTTGTTATTGGTTGAGGCTTATTCTTCTTCCTTGTGTGGTTGCGTGCTTCCGCCTTCGTTTATTCCCTTCTTCTGCTTATGCGCTGTTGTCTGGGTTCCCTTCGTTTGTACTTCGGTGGGGAGGGGGTGGATCGTTACGCCGCGGCTGCGTGTGCGCGTGGGCGAAAAGGCAACCGCGCGGCGGAAAAGCAGACAAAACACGCGGGGAAGGCAAGGCCGTCGGCAGACAGCAAGGACGACAGGGCGACCGCATGGGGCCAGTGACAACAGTGCAAAGAACCAAGCAAAAACAACAACAACAACAACAACCAACAGTTTCTTCTTCTTCTTTAATTCATCTCTGGGGAGGGAGGGTCGTTCTCTAAAAAGAGGGAGAGGACACGCGCGTGCGAGGGAGGAGGGAGCAATAATAAAGCACGGCGTGGATGCCACTTAGGCAGAGGGGTCGTCCACGTACACACGTACGTGTGCACGTGTGTGTGTGTGTGTGTGCTTCCGTCTCCCAATTCCCTCTCGGTTTCTCTATGTTGTCAATGTGGACGTTGCGACTCCGCTTACTTCGTTACTGCTTCCATGGAACGGAAACGGAAGCGCACGAGCGACCCCGCGGCAGGCGCCTCTCACATCTCGCGTTGCTCTGGTTGAACGTACGTCATGCCTAACGCGTCAAATACGTCACGCTCGTGTTTCACCTTCACACGCCGCGCCTCCACCTCGCGCCAGAGGGCGGCGAGCTCGTGCTGCTGTTGCCGCTGCCGCGATTCCAAGTCCTCCTTCCGGTGCCTCCTTCCGCCGGCGTCCCCATCGCCGCCCTCGTCGTCATTCTCGCCGTCGTCATCGTCCATGAATGCGGGGGACTTGGCGGAGTAGTACTGGGCCCGCACCAACTTCTGAAATGCCTCGGCATTCCACCGGCCCCGTGCCGCGCTGTTATTGTTAGACTTATTTTTGCTATTACTGGCATTCTTCCCTCCGTCCTCCGCAGCCGCAGGCGCGGTCGCGCCGTTGTGGAACAGGCCATACTCGTTCAGCACGAAGTTCTGCTTGATCGCCTCTGCCCGCATGACAACGTTAAAGTTCTTGCTGCCAGTAAAGTACAGGAGTGCCGCGGGGAAGCACTCCGGTTCCACAAAGCGAATATCGAGTCGCCGCGCGGGGTACAGCTTTGGGCTTGTCGCCCCCGCATTGTAGTTGTAGCTCTTCAGGCGACTCACCCCCATGAATTTTGTCGACCCCTGCGCCAGGGTTGCCTCAATGTACCGCTCCTGCTTGAGGGCCTCCACGAACGCCGCAAGCACCTCCTGCGGAGCCAAGACCCGCTCCCCGCTACTTGTGCCGCCCTTTTTGCCCTTCTTTTGGCGGGCGGCGGGGGCCTTGCCGTTTGTCTTGCGTGTGATGAGCACGTCAATGTCGCCAGACGTTGGCAGTCGTCGTCGGTAGCTTCCGCAGATGGAGAGTTCGTAGCCCTTTCCCAGGTACTTTCGCAGCCGCAGCTTCAAAAAAGCCTCGTGCAGACGCACTTCCTCGTACGGGATGCGCTGCATAATGTCGCGATAGTACTTGAGTCCTAAACGCTGCGCCTCGGTGAGGTGCAGGACGGCGTCATCGTCAGCCGTGGAACTTTTCCTGGAACTTTTCTTGCTACTACCGCCGCCCTGGCCCGTTTCGGCGCTCTGCCCCTGCGTGCGCTGCTGCAGCTCCGCAACGGATTTAATGCCGTACTTCTTGTAAAACGTCACCGCGGTGCGGGGGCCGACGCCGTGCACCTGCGTGAGGTCCTGAATGGCGCGGATGATGGGTTTTGCCTGCAGGCTGTGAAGCTCCGCAAGGTCGCCGGTGGAGAGAATCTCCACAATTTTGGCCTTGAGCTTCTCCCCCACGGCGGGCGTCGCGTTGACGGCGTTTAACTGCTCCGCCCTCTGCGCGTCATCGACGCCGGGCGGCGTGACGTTCGGTGGGAGGTGCACAAAGATAAAGTCGTCCCGTTTGAGGTTGTCCACGGCAATCTGGTACGACTGCGCCTTGTACCGCTCCTGCAGTGCGTTGTTGATCTCCGCCAGGCGCTGAAATATTTGCAGGACCTTCTCGCGGTGGTCGGGCACAAAGTTGGACGTCTTTGAGATTCTTCGGACGTCCTTCAGCGATGCGGCCCCCGCCCGGGCCTCACCGGCCGCCGGGGGCGAAGTCACTGGCGCCGCCGAAGTTACGGGGGCTCGCTTGGCCCCCTGCGCGCCGGCGGAGGCCACGGTGCGTCTTGCCGCGCGCAGCAGCCGCGTTGCACCCCACGGCATCCGCAGCATCTTCGGCCCAGTTGGACACCACCCAACTCACAAACAGGCCGCCGCCCCTCCCCCTCCCCTCCGTCGCCGGCAGCTGCAGAAGAGGGCAGTACTCACAGACACACACACACACACACACCAACTAGGCTGAAATATCTAGGCTTCTCTCCTCCTCGCACACACAAACTCACCCACGCACTCTATACCTGTGTGTGCGTGCGAGTTTAAGCAAATATGTGTGCGTATATGTATATGTATGGGCGAGTGACGTCAAAGACGCGTGTGCAGGGGGTTCTGTGCTTCCGTGACGTCGGTGCCTCCTCCCGTCTCCGCATCCATCGAGGGCCAAATGTGAGAAAGGGGAGGGGGGGGGACAAAATAGGAGAAAGAGGAAGAGAAAGAAACGACAATGATGGGGTTGAGCCGCAAGAGCCAACCACACAAGGAGGGAACAGTCGTAGCCCACTCGCGCCAATACACGCGGGTGCACCCAAACACCTACACACAGACAGAGCGGCTGACACGCGCCATGGTGAGACTCGTTTCCGCCAGCAACACTACTTCACTCTTTCTATCCCTCTTTCCCGCCATCTTTCCCTTTTACGGCTGATGTTTTTTCCCCATCCCTTCTTTTATTCGTTTTAATCGCGAAGCCGCTTCGTCGTGCCGACGCCCCACGACTCGTACTCCTCCAGAAGCTGCACGAAAAGCGGCGTCAGTTGCGCCGTCTCCCGGCTCTGCAGCGACGCGAAGGAGAGCCGCATGAAGTCAAAGCCGAAACACATCCGAAGTGCCCCTGAGCCCACCGGCCCGGCGTCGGGGCCCGACGCATCACGCAGCTGTCGCCGCGGGGAGTCTCCCTGCCTGACCTCCGCAGGCACTCCCGCGGCCTCCTCAGGCCGGCTCTGTTCCATGGGGGCGGTCGCAGGCTCCGAGCCCCGCAATTTCCGCCGCCTGCAGCGGACGTCGACGTCTCTTCCGTCCAGCTGCGACTGCATGAGCCCCGGCAACTTCGGGTACCGTTGCGAGAAGTGGTTGAGCACAATGTGCTCGGCACGGATGGCCGCCGCCACCTGCAGCGCCTCTGGCAGCGTGGAGTGACACTTCTGCACCGCCTCCTCCTCGCAGCCCTCGCCAAACGTGGCCTCGTGTAGGCAGAGAAACACACCTGTTGCCTCGTCCCCATCATTATCGGTCCCGTCCCTCCCCTCCGCCTGCGCACTGCCATAATGGGTGCAGCGGGTAAAGCGGCGACAGCGCTCTATGAGAAACGGTGACGGCCGCGTGTCGCCAGAGAACAGGAAAACGCGGGACGTGGCAGCCGCGCCCATCGGGGCGGGAAAGCGAAGCAGCAGTGCGTGTGCGTTGGCAGGGTGATGCACCGGGAAAACTTCGGCACCCCACAGCGGCGGCGGCGCTCGACACTCGCCCGAGGAGGCTGGCACTGCCGTGTTCTCGCCAAGCCGCGCACACACTGCATCGAGGCGCGGGAGAAGCACCGCGGTGGCGGAGGCCCCCTCGGCCCGGTGCCGTTCCGCAGGAATGACGTCATACACGACCTCCTCCTGTAGCCACCGCCGGTACGCCGCACAGCGCCCCCACGTGTCCTGCATGAATTCGTGCACCTCCTGCGGACATACAACGAGAACGGGCTCCTGCAGCGTGCCGCCGTAATCCGGCTCCTCCCTCGCCACCCGCAAACGCAGACGATGCCGCAATTCAAGGAGAGTCATCAGCCCAAGATGATGGTCGGCGTGTGCGTGGGAGATGAAGACAAAGGCCAAATCATTGAAGAACCGTCGCAGGGCCTGACCAGAGCCGTTGCCCCAAAGCATTGCTAGCTGCCCCGCATTTCCTTCACCGAAGTCTAACACCACAACAGCCCGGCAAAGTTTTTTGCCGCGACGAGCATGATACATCACCTCAAGGTACGTCCCACTCACGTTGCGGTACTTGCTTGGGACGGCGGAGCCCGTGCCCAAAAACGTCAGGGCCCCTCCGTCGTCAAGGTGCCATGTGCTGTTGCCATCGTCCCGGCCACAGGCGTCATGGACACGCTCGCGGGGGTCGCCTTGTGGATGCCGCAGCAAAGAGGAGGACGCAGACGCCAGCACGCCCGGCATCTGTTCACGTGCCCTACCCACGGTGGTGCGGAATTGCGCGGAGAGCATCTCCACCGCCGAGCGTGCCGTCGGGTAGCGCAGCAGGCCTGCTGTCTCCCCTTTGCTCAAATTACCACTCTTCTTCAGCTGTTTGGCGGCGGGAACTAACAAGGACGGCGCCGCAACGGGAGGAACAGAACCCATAGCTGAAGTGTTTGCGTGATCTGTGATGCGCGTGGCAGCCTCCGCAGGAACTAACGGGTGCTTTACGCTGTAGGGCCAAATTGGGCCTGGCTCCCCGCTCATCTCGGCAGGCTTCTTTTCAGCTGAAAACGAGTCTGCCATGGGGAACTGCGCCTCGGCGATGCAGTTGAGATGGTAGCGGTGTGCCAGGGCGGTGGGGAAGGCAGAGAACTCCTGCTGCACGGCGGCGCAAAAGTGGTGTCTCGTCCCTTTCGCGGTCGGCGCGGCGGTGGCGCCGGCGTCGCCGCCCCTCTCCTCGTTGCGGAAGCACTGAACGGCCTGCTCCCGAACCCCACGCCGCACACCCGCAAAGATGGAAGTGACGTAATGTGCCTCGGCAGCCCCGGCGGTGTCAGTCTTGAACGGCGCGAAGAACTCGGACTGCTGCACGTGCACAACATGCGTGAGCACGACTGCGCGCTCCGTCGGCGCCGTGGCTGTCGCTGCCGCGGACGCGGACGCGGCATGGTGGTCGTCACGAAACAAGAGCGAGGGTTGCCACTGCGCAAGGAAGCGGCGAAGCTCACCACCGCAGCGCAGCCTCTCGCCTCCCGCGTCGCATTGGCCCTCGCAGGTGGGTGCGTCGCGGCCAAAGAGCGCCACCAACGCCGCCGCCACCTCCTCGCAGTCATCGCCGTCGAGTACGAGTGACACGTACATGCATCGACTGCCCACCGTCGCCTGCTTCACGCTGTGGGGAGAAATGAAACGGCGCGGCTTCTCTGCGGCGCGCGTCCCATGCGGCGCGCCCTGCTCGTCGTCGATCCACACTCCGGTGCCCTGCTTCAGCTGGCCGTACATTGGTCCCGCCGGCACCCCGAGCGCCTTCGCACGTTGGGGATCAAAGCACGCCGTTGGTGCGTGCACAAGGGCGTAGCCGTACGTCTCCTCCTCCGCCGCCGCCGCCGTGCGTGGGACGCGGAAGCCCAGTAGGGCGCTCGTTGGGCTCAGCCGCAGCGATAATACAAAGAAGGACGCCGACGACGCGCTTGCCGGCACGCCAGGTGGAGGCGGCGCAGAGGGGCCTCCCTCCTGTTCCGCCAGGGGCCGCAGTGGCACCTCGCAGACGTAGTTCCCTCGCAGCGTGGTTGGCAGCTGGCGCAGCACCGCCCCCCCTGCACGAAGCTGCTGAAAACTCATCGGCCGGTACCAAAAGTAATGCCGCCGCAGTGCCTCCAACATACCCTCCAGCCCCGCAACAGCCGCACGCCCCGCATGCAACGGTGCCCGCCGCGCTTGACCCTCGGCACCATCCTCCACGTCGAGGGAATGACTGCTTGGGCCGAAGAAGTTGGCGTGCCGAACACCGGCGTCATTGATCGTGAAGAGGAGCCCCGGCATGCCCATCACCGCCGACACGGCCCAGCGCGTAAAGAAGAAGCCGCGGGTGCGCACCAGCCGCACATTCGCCTCGGAGCTGAAGCGCTGCACGCCCTCCGGACAGTTGAAGAAAAGCAGCTGACCGTCGCTGCTCATTGCCGATGCTGCTTCCGATGATGGCGGCGATGCTTCGGCGAGGGCCAACGGCTGCGCGGGGCAACGCAGCGCCTCGTGCTGCACCTGCCCGCTGAAGCAGCAGCTGCCGTAGCTGCCGGGCACATCTGTACCGACGAGCTGAATGTAGTCGGCTGACATTCTCCCCTACAGAGAGAGAGATATATATATATATAATAAAAGAAACGGGAGTAAATGAGAAGTTTTGCCCCCTCGTCCCGCGGACACACTTCCGCGCAGGTAGACAACCGCGGGAAGCAGGGGCGGCAAAGGAGTAACTGCAGCCCAGCGCAGCCAATGCAATCGCGCGTGCGAAACAACTAGAACGCATCCAACCACTTCTCCTAGGCTTCACTCACTGCAGCAACGGAGACCCCCCAGGGAACGCATCACCCCTTCTTTGGCGTCTCCTTCTTCACCCCCGCTGTTTCCTCTTTGTTATTTGCCCTCTTCGCGTCGCCGCCGTCCCTCCCCTCTTCGTCCCCAACGGCCTGCGTGATGAGGCCCTCCGCGTTCGCTGCGACCCACGACGGCAGCATCAACTCGGCGTTCACCACAAGCCGCGGGAGCAGCATCAACTTGAGAAACACCGCCATAAGACGAAACGCCATTTCCTGCGGCACACGTGGCACGTGCCGCGTCATGAGAATAAGCGCCTGCGCGAAGCGGTCCCACGTGGGAAAGTACTGTGCACGCCTGGTGTAGTAGTCGCGCCGCGCCCCCCAAAAGCGCTGCTCGTCGCCGTGCAGGGACTCCGCGTCAATCACACGCTGGTAGTTGCCGTCGCCGATTTTCTTCTGCTCTGCTGGGCGGTACTCCACGGCGACGGCGGCGCGTGGCACGTGACGCCCCCCGCGCCGCGTGAGAAACCCCCGCTGCACAACCCGCAGCCGCGAGTGCGACGACGCGGACGACAGCAGCGAAGGCAGCGACATGCGCTTTGTCCCTGGCGGCCGCCTATTTTCTCTCCCCTTTTTGCTCTTGTGGTCCCTTCGCACGCACGCACGCACGCAGCCCTCGGGCGCCGCCGCGGCGAGTCCGAGAAGAGGGGGAGGAGGACCACATCAGCCGGCGTCATCGCCACACAAAACCCCCACGCCCCCGCAGCGCAGAAACGGCAGCAACACACACGCACACGCAGACACACAGACACACAGAGGGGGAAACAAAACGAACGAGCGGCACTTTCACCTCCTCCAATACAGACTTCATGTAAAAAAAAAAGGTTGTCAAATAAACAAACAAGTAAGCAAGCAAAAACGCCCGTCGCCTTCCTTCTTTTCCCCACCCCCAACTTCACGCTTCCTTTTTTCGGGTCGTTTGGAATCCTTACACACAAACACGCACACATACTGCAGAGTTTACTTTACATATGTTCCATTTGCCTGGGCACAAACCCATCGATGCCTGCCCCCGACAAGTTAACCGCCTTCGCTCACGGCCACTTCTCACATCTTTTTTTTTTCCTTTTTTTTCGCTCTCCACCCACACGCACACACGCAGAAAAACCCAACGACTTCCTCTCTCCCTCCCACTCTCATAATCCTCACTGCAAATCGCCGTCGCAGAAGCAAAACAAACAGGGGGTACACCACGCAAGCATATAAACGATGGGGATGACCAGGGGCTTTTATTACATTCTAGTTGCAACCGTACATTCGCGGCACGGTCCCAACGCCGGAAACGGAGTGTGCTGCACCATGACGCAACAGCATTACATACACACAGAAAAAGTCAAAGACAAAGAAACGTCAAAAATAAATAAACAAACAAAATGACAACAGCACTGAAACAAAAATTTTTCGCACCAAATTAACATGAATTTCCTTTTTTCTTTTTTTCTTCCTTTTCCTTTCTGCGCAAAAGGATGGGAAAGAGAAGGGCATCATCTCTGGTAGCACTGCCACCTAATCTTTTCTTGGGATGTGCGCCTCATCTGTGCCAGGCGGCATCGTCTGTTGGAAGGACTCCAGCGTGGCCAAGCTTGCGTCTGAAAGCACCGCCTTGGCGATAATGCCACCAGCAATATCGCCATGATCCATTCCAATGGTGGAGCCGCAGCGGCCGCAGAAGTACACCACATACACCCCCGTTCCATCGACACCCTCGTCATCTACCATCGGCACCTCCAGGGTGAACTTCTTCAAGAGCTCTGGGAGTCGCACCTTTCCGGCGTTGTCGTTCCCTCCTGCTTCAGCGGAGTCTGCATTGGAGCCTGTCACCGCGTCCTGCTTCCGGGCGGATGGTGAGATGGGCTTTGCGAGTGCCTGGGCGGCGGATTTGCCGGCCCCAGCGGGAACCTCCTCCGTTGGCGTCATTGTGGGCCGTAGCGGGGGCGGAGACACCGATGTGGCTGCCGGCGATGCCTCGGCGAAGAGGCCCTCAAATGGCACATCCGGTAGGTGCAGCCATTCCACCCCCATCATCGCCCCAGAGAACCTTGAGCACACCACGCAGTTGCACACAAAACTGCCAAAGATGGTGGAGGCTAGGCCAGTGAAGCGAACCCCATCGCAAAGACATCCACCGGTGAATAAAGGTGCCTCCTCCCTTTCTTCTTCCCCCGCCGTCGCAGCTGGTGCTGCTTCCGCTCCCTGGGCCGCGCCGTCATCTGGAGTGGAAGGCGACTCCCCCGGTTTCGCTGAGCCCCTGTCAGAAAGTGGTCCGGCAATTCGGGCTGGTGCCGCCGGGGCACCACGCGGAGGCCACACCGCATCGTAACGCGAAATGCACAGCGAGACATGCTCACCTGCCGCACGACCGTCAAGCTCTTCTTGAGAAATGGGGGTCTTGTTCGGTTGCCGCTGCAAGTCCTGGACGTTGAGCGTTGTTCCCATTGCATCTGAGAACTCCTGCCCAACATCATCCAGATTAAGCTCTGATGTCGGACACGGGGGGGTGTCTGCGCGATCCACGCCAGCAGAGGGCGAAGCCGCCGCAAGCGAATTCGTCCACGGCGCCCCTTTTACACCGCTAGCCTCATAGTTGTTATCTGTTAGAGCCACACTGCTAAGCACAGACTCGAGATGATTTGTCATCTCCTGCAAGACTAGCGCCAGATCGCCTTTGGGTTCATTCGCGGCAGGCGTGTTGTCATGCTTGTCTTCAGCATCGTCCCTGGCTTCCGTTGTGCTGCGCGGTTGATGCGGCCCTTCTAGGCTAGCCAATGGTGGGGCCGCGGCGGTAGGGGTCGGAATGGGCTTCTCCTCCGCCGTTGGAATTGCAGAGGGGGAAGCAGTGGCGTTATCGTAAATGGGACGATGCGGCAACGCTGGTGGGAAGCTTGGGGTTGGCTCCCCGCCAGCTGCGTTGTGCTCGGCAACGGCAGGTCGTCCGCGGTAGGGGGAAACCCCAGCAGGTTGGTAATTCATCGGCTTCCGCACCGCGCGTCCCCGCTGTTCCCTTTCATTTACGATGCGTTTTTTGTTTTCATCGTAAATAAGGAAAAGATCGTGCAGAGGCAGGCTATTGATCGGCTTCCGCTGCGGTCCTCCGGCGGCGTTGGCATCCACGGGTGGGACGTGGCTCTCCTTCTTCCAGTTTCCACTACCCCCGCCCTCCGGGGGGTGAGGGGCGGCCCGGGCCGGGGCATTCCTCTCCTTAGTTGGCGTATTTCTGCCGAGAGCATTGTAGTTCCTGATGCCGTTGTAGTAGTCTTTCTCGTCTTTGTTGTTGTTGGCCTTGCCAGTGGCGTCATCCTTGTCACCGTCGTTTTGGTTGTGGTTTTGTTTCCCCCGCAGTAGGGCGGGAATATACTTGAAGGCGTCGCCGAGGATTGGCTGGTTCGCGGGCAACACCCGCTTCAGGGCCTCCTCATCCTCGCGCTGCTTTTGCAGCAGCTGCCGCTGTTGCCGCTGCTTCGCCAGCTCCCCCAACACGCCCCCGAGGTGATCATTGGCCAAATCGTAGGCGTTCCCACGCCTGAATGGAGACTCCGCGTTGCGCTTCGGTGCGAGGCCAACGCGGCCAGCCGCCGCCGCCGCCGCCGCCACCGCGACCTCCGCTGAAGCCCCAGACGGCGATGGTTTCTCCGCACCGGGCTCCTTCCGCGCCTGGGGGTGCAGCTCCATGGCGGGACGAATCGGCGGCGGTGGCGTGGCGGCGCCAGAAAGAACGCGCCTGTACTCATCCTCGGAGCGCCCGTCTGCGGCGCTAAGCTTCTTGATGATGTTCGGGATCGCCCGCAGCAGCACAGGGGAGCGGAGGATTTGCCCCGCGTCAGGGCGCTGGCGCGGGTCCTTTTTCAACATCCACAGCACGAGTTCCCAGAGTTCGTCGGAGAAGCTGGCGGGGATGCGGCATGGGTCCTTGTGGCATATGTCGCCCATCAGCCGGTTCATTGTTGTGGCCTCAAACGGCAACCGACCGGTGGTGCAAAGTTCGTAGAGCAGAACGCCGAGGGCCCAGACGTCGGACTTGTTGTTGTACGGTTTTCCCTCACAGAGCTCGGGGGAGAAGTAGCACGGCGTCCCGCACATCGTCTGCGCCATCGCAACGGTGCTCATCAGCACGGTGCTGATGCCAAAGTCGCCCAACTTCACGACGTGGTTTTTGGTGAGAAACACATTTTGCGATTTAATGTCGCGGTGCAGCAAACGACGATCGTGCATGTATTTCACCGCCATCGTTGTCTGCACGAATAGGCTGATCACCTGCTCCTCCGTCAGGCCGCCGCCGCCGCCGCCAAGCGCCCAAACGCTGCTCTTGAGATTTTTTAGGTGCGTGTAAACGTCGCCGCCGTCGGCGTACTCCATCACGATGTACAGATGCGGGTGCTCCTCGCAAAACTCCACGTAGCGGATAATGTTCGGGTATTCAAGCTGCTGCAGCACCACAATCTCCTGGTGAGCGTCCCTGCGCTGCCGCGTGGTCATGTTTGCCATGTTTACGTGCTTCACGACGTAGAGCTGCTGGCGTGCGGCGTGGAAAACGAGATAGGCGTTGCCGAAGCTGCCCTTGCCAAGCTGCCGCACGGCGCTGTACCCAGAGCGCTGCAGCGTAATCGGCAGGCGCGGCCGCGACGGCCCGATGCCAAGGCGCAAATTTAACTCATCCACCGCATTCATTTTTCTTTGTCGTTTCTGCCCCTCCCTCACCTCTGTGTCTTTGCCTCACCACGCCGCACAGCCTCCCTCGGTGGATTTGGCGACTTGATGCCACGCGTGCCTGTTTCCCCTTCGCTTTTCTCCCCGCCCCTCCTGCAATCGCGCAGAGGTGTGTATATGTCGTACGTGCCTTTCTATTTTTTTTTTCTTCTCTCTCTCTCTGTGTGTGTGATGGAGAGGGAGCTTACGATGGTAATTGACGTTCCGCCTGCTGCTGACTCGTCCGCCGCGCAAGAGCGTCGGTGCAGGAGTTCCACGTTTGCTGTCGGTGATGTTTGTTTGCTTTGCCCCCACCACCCCCCTCCTCTTCCCTCGTGGCGGGCTCCGCTACGCACTGCGGCTGTGGAGGTGGCTGCACTGCACCGGGAGGCAACACACGCAGCACCCACGCCGTCCTGGCGCCACGGCGCAAGCGGAGAGAGAGAGAGAGAGAGAGGAGACAGAGAAGAGAGAG